CGTGCAAACTAAAATTATAAACATTTTTATACAATTTTGCAATACATTTTTAATATACCAAAATTATATTTACCTTGCAGTTAGATATTAAAAAGGATGCGTACGATTGGCAGTTTGGTAAGATGTCAACCAATGCAAGGCAGGAGAATTTTTACTTGTCTGATATTCAATCTCAATTTTATATCTAAAAATCATCATAAAATGTCAATACTATTATAAATACTATCATATCGATAAATATTGATTCTTAATATTTGTAATTTTTATTAAATGTTTTATATTTACCGTGTATCAGTTTCATGAATCGGTTCTGGTAAGTTAATGGTAAATTTACTTCCAAAACGGCTCTCATGTCCAATTTCATATGTTAAATTAGTGGCAGGATGTAAAGACTTAACACTCCATATAAAAAGTTTATGACTATCTAAAATCTAATTGCTCTGTATTGAATACTGACAATAAACAAAATGTTTTTGATAAAAAAAAAATCGTTCACTTACTATTTCGGAAATTGAAGGTTTCCTTTCTATAGTTAATACAGCTTTGCCCTTAAGAATTTGTTCTTGAAAATTCACTTTCAATTCTAAGTGAATGTCAGTTACAAATGCAAGATCTAGTAATTAAAATAATATAAGAAATTATGAGAACCTTATAGAAAAAAATAGGAAAAATATACTAATCTAAATATACTAATATAAGTACATATAAAAAAATAATTTAATTATATCTACAATCATTATAGAAACAGAAAGAATAATTACGTGTGATATAATTTTTAAAATAAATTTAACGATACGTTCCGTAAGGTCGTTACTAAGTTACAACATCGAAAGGCTAAGTTCCGATTGTCGCGAATTTTAGATTTTTATTTTAAATTTAACATAATGCATTTAAGAAAATACGCAAACTATTATAAATTAATTAAATTTATAAAAATTTAATTTAAAAAATTACATATTTATTAAAAATTTGAAAATATTTGTGATAATTTCATCTTTCAACACACATGCTAATGAGCTAAGTTTATATTTCTTATTTAAATTTTTTCAAAAAGAAATACTAATTTCTAATGTCTTGTAATATTTTTATATAGCTAATTATAAATAAATTTCTAATGTATTGTAATATTTTATATAGCTATTATAAAATACCTGGTCTTGCGTAAGAATGCGGATCTTCAGGAGACAGAGCCATTGAAAAAGTATATACGTTTTAAAATATTTTATAAGTCTTTTGTACAAATTGTCAAATTAAAATTGATGTTGTATATTTAAAATGGCTATATTATATCTTTTATAATGTAAAAGCTTTTCTACAATGTAATATTTAAGTTCAAAAATATAGAGTCTTTTTTCGTCTCTTATCTTGCTTGTTTTCGTTTGTCAATTTATTATTGTTTTTAACATACTGATATTTCTAATATATACTGCCTAGCCAAAGTGACTAAAACTTTCGAATTTATCAATAAACATTTGATAAATATATTTAATAAATCAAAGTCACATTGTTTAGAAATCGTTTAATTCTATTATGAGAAATTTATATATGAGAAATTACTATATATATGAGAAGTTACTGTCAAAATTTTTTAAATAAAAAATTATTTAAGACTAATATTTAATTTAAAATTATTAAGAAAGTTTTTATATACATATATGTAAATATCTAAAATTTATATATAAAACTTTATTTTTATTCTAATTTTGCTTTATATATATTAATCTTATAATCAATTAAACATCATAACCACGTGTCAAAACTTCTAACAGTCACTATTTAATTTCGTTTCTGAGGTCTATCATTGCTATAAAAAAATAATTATAAAATAAGAATTCTATTCTATTTCTTTACAAATGCGTTCATTTCAATAATTTTCTCTATTTTAGAGATTTCTTTAGAAACACGCGCTAAAATATCATAGATATTGCACATAATTTCATTCAGTTAAGTTTATAATTTTATTCAGCAAAGTTTATTAAAAAGTTATATGTTTATAAATATAAACAAATATTTATTTTAATATTGAAGTTAGCACAATTTTTTATATCATTACTTTTCTATAGAAAATTTAAACATTTACATTATACAAACTTTTTTAACTTATGCTTATTTAAACAATATGTTAGTTTTATTTTTTGGTATTTCTTTAAGACATATTTGATATCATTTTTTTCTCTTTTTACAAAATAATAATTTTGTATTGCTATTAAGCGTAAATTAATTGTTTCTATCGTTACTAATATCATTATCTTTTATTGAGTTTACTTACCTACCGACTCATTTTGATAGTCACAAAGGCTGCGTTCCGATATTTACTGCCAGTACTGAAAATATATAGTTCAGGTCACATATATTATAGATTTTCAGTACCGGCAGTGAATATTGGAACGTAGGCAAAATATAGCCAAGGAACTGTGTCACGTGACCCTCCTTTCGGTGTCGCCGTATTCTCTGAAGTGGGTGGTCTGGTGTTTAACCTCGCGACGTGCCCAAACTCACGAGGAAAAATATTGGTAATTTTGTATTTTTTTCACGGACTACATCTTTTATCGTCCGAATTTACGTCGCGCGTGTCTCTTGACGGATGTAAGGTGATTATTTTTAACAAAGTAAGAATATATCGCGACATATGCGGAATCAGACTGACACATCAGACATGCGGTCCTTGCGGTTTCGAAATTGTTAGTTTTTGTCATGTTGTACTTGATATTTGTTAGAAGTGTGACATTTTTATTTTCGTTTCTTGCACGTTATACGCTTGAATTATTTTTATGATTCGTATATTCATTGATCCATTATAGTTACAGACGAGGTTAAGTATTTTTAAATCTAATTTAGAAGTGTAAATGCATTATTTATTACATTTTGCTTGATTATTGCAGAGTATTTGTCACCATGAGTCGTTTCTTCGCAACTGGCTCGGATTCTGAATCCGATAGTGCATCTGAGGAAGAGCAGGTGCAAAGGGCACCAGCGACAGCTTTCACTGTATGTATCGGATTGGAATAAACATTCTTTTAACGATATCCCCTGCTGTATGATATTCTTGTGAAATAATATAAAATATGCTTTTATAGTTTAGCGATGATGAAGAAGAAACGAAGCGTGTTGTACGCTCCACAAAGGAAAAGAGATATGAGGAGATTGCAAATCTTATAAAACTCATCAGGAATTATAAGAAGATTAAGGATATGAGCAGCATGTTGACTAGTATGTAATTTTAACTTTGTAGATCTTTTATGATGATTTAATTGAAAATTAACATAGATTAACATAGATTGAGTATATATTATAAATATATATAATTAATATACATTCCTTTATAAATCTCTTGATTATGATTGAAAATTTTAGTTTAATAAACATCTTTATTATTCTAGGTTTCGAAGATTTGATGCGAGCTTATCAGAAAGCTTTACCTGTAATTACAAAAGAGGAACTTGGACAAACGCCACGATTTTATGTTAGATGTCTGGTAGAAATGGAAGACTTTATTAACGAAGTATGGGAAGATCGTGATGGACGCAAAAATATGTCTAAGAATAATTCCAAATCGCTTTCGACATTGCGGCAAAAACTACGGAAATATAACAAGGACTTTGAAGAGGACATTGGCAAATTCAGGGAGAATCCCGATCAAGATGATGATGAAGAGGAAGAGAAAGGTGATTACTACAGGAAATATTTATTACAAATGCTTCAACTTTAAATCTTTCCAAAATAGAAAAAAGAATGGATTGTTTCCATTTCAGCTGAAGAAGTTTTAGAATCCGAAGAGGAAGAAGATAGTGCTGTAGCTTTCAAGAAGGCTGGATCTGAAGCAAGTGAACCCGATGTGTCCAAGTTCTAAGGTTTTTTTTTTTTATAAAATCAAAACCAACATTAGAGATTGATTAAAATGATTTGATATAAATTTATTTTCTTGCAATGTTGCCTTGCAGAAAGCCACAACTGATGGTGAAGAGGGTAGTGAGAGCGAATCTGACTGGGGTAGTGATTCAGACAGTGAGAGCACAAGTAGTGATGATGAAGGCCAATATCAAAACATTCGTGAACGTTTTATTAAAAAGTACGATCTCTTTCTTTTTTAGTCTTTCATTTTTATTTAATGACAGAATAAATTTATATTGTGTAACTTTTTTTTTAATTAGAGCTACAGCTCAAGAAGAAGATGAGGATAAAGCAAAGAGGAAAGAACAACGCAAAGAACGCAAAGAAAAGGAGCGAAAGAAGAAACGTGACGAAGACGATGGCGAAGGAGAATGGGAAACCGTCAAAGGCGGCGTGGCTATTCCCTCCGAGAAGCCGAAGATGTTCGCCAAAGACGCAGAAATCAATATCAGTGCTGTGCTAAAGAAGCTCTCTGAGATAATTGCAGCTCGTGGTAAAAAGCGCACGGACAGACGCGAGCAAATAGAACTTTTACACGAGTTGCAACTAATAGCCGACGCGCATAATTTAGGCCCAGCTGTGGCCGTTAAGATTAAATTTTCCATTGTATCTTCCATATTTGATTACAATCCGAAGGTTTCTGATGCTATGAAACCGGAGTATTGGTCTAAGTACGTATTTTTGAAAACAATACATGTGTCTATATAAATTCATAAACTTTAAAATATAGAATTTTAAAATAACTAGATAAATAGATAAACACACATTTTTATTACAGAATACTGGAGCGTATTACTGAAATGCTGGACATGCTGTTAAGCAACTTAGATATGGTAATAGCGGAAACAATAGCAGAAGAAATGGAGGAGTTCGAAACAACACCATACAAAATACACGGTTGTGTATTGACATTGGTAGAACGTCTCGATGAGGAATTCACAAAGTTGCTGAAGGAATGCGATCCACACAGTAACGAATACGTGGAAAGGTAATATTTACGCGAGAAATTACGCGGTACATTTCTATAATTATTATTTTTCGCACAATAAAATATCTACCTATCATAGATTGAAAGATGAGAAGCAAGTTGCTGCCATAATTGATAAAGTGCAAGAATACTTGGAGAGACAAGGAACCGTATCTGAACTTTGTCGCGTGTATTTGCGTAAAATTGAGCACTTGTATTATAAATTCGACTCAAATGTTCTCAAGCAAAAGGAGGTAAATCTCGCAAAGTAATTATACGTGCACAAAATTCTTTTGTTTTATTAATTTGTCAAAAATATCAAATATCAATATCAATTAGGGTGAATTGGGATCAGATGCAATCACATCCGTGCAAGTTATGGAGAAATTATGCAAATACGTGTATGCCCACGATAACACCGATCGATTAAGAACTCGCGCGATTCTTTCGCACATTTATCACCATGCTCTTCACGATAACTGGTTCCAAGCTCGCGATTTAATCTTGATGTCGCATCTCCAGGAAACTATTCAACATTCTGATCCAGCAACACAGGTTTTACAAACGCGTACATATGTTTATTTTTATCTTATCAAAATATATAATAATTATTATGTTTTTGTAGATTTTATATAATCGTACGATAGCCCATTTAGGATTATGTGCATTCCGTCATGCAAATATTAAAGATGCGCACAACTGCTTGGTAGATTTAATGGTAACAGGCAAAGTGAAGGAACTTTTGGCACAAGGTTTGCTTCCGCAACGGCAACATGAGCGTAGCAAGGAGCAAGAAAAGATTGAAAAACAAAGACAAATGCCTTTCCACATGCATATTAATTTGGAACTTTTGGAATGTGTGTATCTTGTTTCAGCAATGCTTATCGAAATTCCGTATATGGCTGGTATGTCTTTTACGCTGAATGTCATTTTTCAGATTGATGTGATTAAATATATATATATATTTTATAAATAATTTTTTCGAAGTTTAATACATATGACAAATTAATATAAATTTATATAAATTAATATAAATTTTAGCGCACGAATTTGACGCGAGACGAAGAATGATCTCAAAGACATTCTATCAACAATTGAGATCTAGCGAACGTCAATCATTAGTTGGACCTCCAGAATCTATGAGAGAACATGTTGTTGCTGCCGCGAAAGCAATGCGTAATGGGAATTGGTCCGCTTGTAACAATTATATTATAAACGAAAAGATGAATGCAAAGGTACAAGTAATATATATTAATAATTTCTTGTTTTTTTCTTTTATATAAAAGTAATAATTATTTTTATCAAAATAGGTTTGGGATCTTTTCCATCAAGCGGATAAAGTACGAGCTATGTTAACGCGATTAATCAAGGAAGAGGCATTAAGGACTTATCTATTTACATACTCGCATGTATATGATTCGATCTCAATGCCTAAACTTGCTGACATGTTCCAACTAAAGCGACCAATAGTTCATTCGATTATTAGTAAAATGATCATTAACGAAGAACTTATGGTATTATGCAGATATATATATATATATATATATATATATATATCTATATTTTATAGTGATTTTATAGTGATTTACATAATGTTCTATTTAGTTCATATATATTTCCTCTTTTCATAAATTTAGGCATCTTTGGACGATCCAACTGGAACTGTAGTTATGCATCGCAGCGAACCGAGCCGTCTTCAATCGCTGGCTCTGCAATTGACGGATAAAGTAAACAATTTTGTAGATTCGAACGAGCGCATCTTCGAAATGAAGCAAGGTAGACGAATCAAATTTTTTTAATAATAGAGATCATTAGTTTGAATGCTATTATCAAAATTGCTTAACAAATAGATAAATTTGTTTACGATAACACATTCATATATTATACCTATTATATAACAATATTTTATTCAAATAAATTGTTTTTATTTCTTTTATTTATATATATAAAATCTCTATTTCTTTTTTCTATCTCTATTTCTTATATATATTACTTCGTATCTTTTTAACAAATCTGACCTGACCTGTTCCGACCTGACTCGACCTGGACTCTGACTTTGACTTTATAAATAAATTTGTACACATTAAAAAAAGAGAGAGCTAATAAAAAGATATTCAGATCAGATATATAATTATACTTTTAATTCTTTTGTCATTCAAGACACTCATATTTATTTACTTTTTCAAGTATTTAAAATACTTTGCTGTAAAAACATGTTAACAAAGAAATTAATATCTGGAAGTTCATTCAAACAAACGTAAGTTTTTTACAAAATCAAGTGTTCTTCATTTACGCTCACTATATTTGTATATGTTATTTGTCATGTAATGAATCCATAAAAATTATGCGTTTTCTATTTTATAATAACAAAATAATTTTTATAGGTAACTTCTTTTCAAGAGGAAATCAAGGCAATTTCCGTGATCGTCAGAATTATAATCGACAAGGACAAGATTGGGGCCGGCAGAGGCGCGATCGCGATCGCGATCGTGATCGTAATCGAGAGGAGAATCGCAATTATTAATCGCATAATAATACAAAGCAAAATAAGATTTGGATGTCAAATCATTGTAACATTTAAATCTCCATGCATAAATAATACTGATGACATAAAGACAGCAATCGTATTGTATTAATACATTGCAGAATTACTCGCGTTTTCTCCCGCAATCGCCATATGTGCGAAGAGGTATTGTAAAACAAATATGTACAATCTTTTGTCTATTATACAAAAAGATTACAATATTTTTACATTCTTGATGGATGTCAGATGTGAATCTTCATATTTTTTGTATCCTCTGGATCAACTTGTTACCCGTTAAAATAGTGTCGGACGCAAGAACGAGACGTATTCCCATAGATTTCTCTACGAGTCGGCAAGCCGCTATTTCCGCGCAGGTAATACCTCCTATCACGCAAATAACAACCATCTTTGGCGATAATGCACCCTTTTGACCACTTACGACACAGTTTGATAAGTTCGTCAAATCCTCAAAGCTGCGAGGATCTTTCTCCTGATTCGACACGATATTTAGTATTTGTGCCTGTAAGATGTTAAGTGATATTAATTCCACACGATTATATATTGAATGATTTATAATACGGAAGAACGGAATACTTACTATCGCCGGTATATAAGCATTGTTGAACACATAACTAGGACAAGTACGACTGTTCTGATCGGATCGTTTGAGATAACTAGGCAATATCTTCAATTTTTGCGCGTTGCTGCTCCACTCGCTGTTCCAGTTGGGCAACTTATGTAAAGTGTATTCGTTTCTATGCTTTAGTAAGCCAACTGTTTGTAGTTTGTAAAACAGCGGAATATGCTGATAACCATGGGTATGAAGATGAAGTCTCTGGATATTTTCAAGCTCGCTCGGTGTAATGCCATCCGTAGTAATAGACAACAAGCACAGAAGACGTAAACATCGTAGCTCTTGCTCGTCTGCACAAAGAAGTATTTTATGTTTTAATTTTAATTAATTTCTGATATAATTATTAATGTTATTAATTTTGACGTACCCATATATCTCTCAATATAGTTCAGACATTCTTTTCGATCTTTGCAATCGAGCATGAGTTTCTCAATCGTTCGCAAGGCTTGAAATTCGGAGCCTAGTTTATCCGCGATAGCCTGGCATGCGGATATATGAAATGCCAATTGCCGAGTCATATCTCTGGTCTTTTGCAATCTCGTCGACACATATCTCTCCATCTCTGACAATTTCATTGTCTGTATTGCCTCCTGTTCGGCTGATATATTAGCCAGTATTAAAACATCAATCGAATGAGAAATAGAATAATTAGCGATAAAAATAAATACATTTAAGTGATTTAGCCTTCTCGTGTAGAATTGGGAAAACGTCGCTGCAAGGTGTGTCTCTTACTTCCCCATAGATTTGATCCTTATTCGGATCCAATTTGGTTTGAGATTTTTCTAACGTCGCCGTGCTGACGTTCACTTCAATGACTTCGTTTAACAAGCCTGCATATGTTACGGGCATCAAAAGTGTCGTAACCAGATCGAAACTCCTGTCCACCACGATCAGAGCGCCGACCTCGTTTTCCAGACTAGACGAGCCCAAACTCTGTTCCATAGTTTCCATCAATTTGTTTAGTTGCTGGCTGTGCTTGCCAAGAAAAAGCGAGAGTCTCGGCGAGCCGAGTATTAGCTGCAATGACCACAGGTTGCGAGCTAATGCTCGCAGAAGACTGATGTCTTTGTGATAGTAAAGATCGATGAACATCGGATTTTCCAAGGATAAAACGTTTCCATCCAGTCTTATAAATTCTATAGATAACGTTCGCAACGTAATCAGCTCAGCCAAACCTGAAACGATTTAACGTTTAGATTATAAAGATAAAGAGAACACTAATGATAATGTTGGCGTAATTTCCTGACCTTCCTCTTCGACTAGATTGTATAACACAGGAGGAACGAACGGCACGACCAGCAAATGGTGACATGATTCGACGTGTGGTTTGCTAATAGGAGATATTTCGGAATGTATTTGATCTAGAACTCTCTTGCACGCGATCAAACTATTAGATACTAAGAATACACGTTGACTATTTGATGGCTTCAGCCCTTCCTCCATTTTATAAATCTTATCTACTCCATATCGTCTACAAATAAAATGATGCAGTTATTGAAATTGCAATAATGGGATTAGTACATAGATATATATGTTAAAATGGAAGAGTGTTTACTTTAACACAGTCACTCCTACAAAACTATCCAGTATTTTCATTAATTTTTGTTCTATTATCAGATCTTTTGTGCCTGGAATATTATCCAGTATTCTCACAAGTTTATGCTGGTTTATTTGCTGCAATGCAGACAGTTTATCATCCAATCTGACGTCCATTTTATTTTAATCACAATAAATCATAATAAAAAAATCCTTAAACGATTATCCTAGATCTTCTTTTCGTATCTGAAAAGAAAACATTTAAAATTATCTTGTGTCATCATTCTGCTAAATATATTATTAATATAGGATAAATTAGGTAATAAGAGAAAATTATTTTCATTCTGTTCTCTGCAAAAAATTGAGATGTAAATGTAATTTAATATTATTCTTAAATTACATCATCTTTGCAAAGATTTTTCTTGTATTAAAAAGTAGAATATTTAATGATTTCAAGAATGTTCTCATTTAATCTGCTGAATCTGCAGAATAAAATATATGTATGAGAAAGCTTTCTTTCTTTTTCTCCATAAGAAACTAACAAATTTATATAAACATAATTTAATTATTTTTAAATTTGATTATTTTTCAGATATTTTTCGTATCAAAAAGTAAAATATTCGAAATGACTTTAAGTATGTGTGTATTATTCCATTAAATTATAAGCAAATTATTTTTTTTTTTGCAAGAAATAAACAGATTTATATAAACGTAATTTAATTAATTCTATATTTAGTTCTTTTTACAAAAAAAATATCAGAATAGTAAGTTTGTAAGTATGTATTGCATGCATATATGTGTGTGTATTTTGTTAAATATTAATAACATATGAGTAGATGTTTTCATTTTCCTCCTCCGCAAGAGAGGATAATTTATTTTCACATGTAAATACGAATGTAAAATGTAAATATACTCGTTATCAATACTCGCTCAGGCATTTGTTTAGAAGCCATATATTGACAAAAGAATAACAGGACTAAAAAAAAATTAACACTAAATAACACTGTAAAATCTCATATACGGCGAGAACAAAATCCCGCAGCAAGAGAATCAGGAGAAAAATTTACGGAAACGTGATTAAAAAGTTACCACATTCGCGTTCGCGACTATCAAGGAAGCAAATTGCGGGAACAACGTGTTTCCTGACGTGATAAGGAGCTGTCAGATCGCGCGTCAAGTAATAATACGTGGACGCTTGTAGAGCGACGCGACATGACGCGCACGCGTTGCGTCTTGCGCATGTGTTCGTGAACGTTTATGCGAGTGAGGGGAATCAGAGCCGAAGCGATCCTTGCGACCCCTTTTCATCATTCGCCGCCGAGGCGAGCGTACATGAACTATACATCGTACGCGTTCCACGCGAGCGTACGTACGTAATCGACGCCACGAGCCGTGCGAGGTTATTTAAAAATGGCGGACGCGTCGTCTTCCGACACTACCTCAGACTGCTGCAATGAGTGTTTCTCTGACATTACGTCGGAAAAGTCGGAGTACGTCGTGGTGGGACGCAAGCCGTGCCCGTCGCACCGCCGCAGCAAGCGGAACCTCCTGCAGAAGCTGCTGATCAGGGAGGTAGGCCGACTTGAACCCCGTAGCCCCCGATGTGAATCCCTACGCGAAGGCGTCGTACAGCTTGAGCTGTCAAGAATAATTTCTTGTCTGATGACTAGTAGATACAAGAGGTTCTTCGCGAAGATTTTAGCACGTTCTATCTGAGAAAATCTCATGTTCGCGAAAGACTCGTGATGAAAGACACTCCGCGATCCTTTCCCACCCTGTGGATAGTATAAGTTTTAGATTTTTCCTTTTTAGTATCTTAAGGGAATTCCTGACGTGTCAGCTGAATTTTTTGTTCCTCCGGAAAGTCTGTTTCATGCTTGGAGAGTTCTTGTTACAATATGGTTTGATAGGTAGTTGATGACATCCTGTATCGGTGGCTGAATTATTTTTGTTTACAGATGAGAGGATGTCTGTCAGCGCACAATTATGCGTCAGAGGAAAGATTGTTTACGATTGTACCTAAGTGGCGACATTTCCATCTCCTCCACATAATCCCAAAGTCTGCACTCGAGGCAGGGTATGCTACTTTTATTATATATATTTTTTATTATATATTATTATATATTATATATATTTATTATATATATTATATATTATATATTATTATATATTATATATATTTATTATTATTATATTATTTATTATATGAATACACCTATTTCTTAGCATACGTGCAATCCAGTTTAAACAAAATAAAATATCGGGACAAAAATAAAAAGCAGAACATAAATATGATGTAAGAAAAGAGAAGCATGAACAAGTTTCTAAGAAATATAAATTGCAATATTTAAATACTTGAAACAAAACAAAAACAATTTAAAAATAAATCCTTTTATCTTTCAATTTGTGTTTCATAGAAGCTTTATTCACGCTTCTAAGAAGTACAAGTTGAAACAAATTGTTCACTTTTTCCTTATCCCACTTATGTTCCAAATTATCTTTCAAATTTTTATATATGCTAGGATAAATATAAATCGTTATCGAGAGTGCTTAATATCTTCTTCATAGAAATAGGCAAGATATGGATTGATAAAGCAAATATCTAATGTTAACATGCATAAATACAAATATAAAATATTTCTTATTCTAATCTATGTAAATGATTGATAAAGATATTTTTGTTTTGCAAGACACATTGTTATGGGATTAACACAATGTGGCCAGTTCCTGCTCACATATACATATACGCTGGAGGTCAGCAGCAATACGTCTTTGTACAAATACCTGTTGCATTGGTGGGCCTTTACGCCTAACCGTGCCGCTCGCAAAGTCGCCGAAGTTACGTTATTTGGCAATTATACAATTTATAGAGAATTAAACATAGTTATATCACAATGGCCGATGGAGCGGAATAAACTTGTAATTCACGGCCTCTGGTATATATTTTGTATATATATTTTTTTATATTATGAAACTTCGAAAGAAGATACAGAAGTTAATAATATTTATCTGTTATAGTACAAATTTCTTACATTTACAACCGACTGATAGAGCGTATTTAACTATAACGACAGTACCATCTCTTGAGAATTGCAAGGATTGCCTGAAAGTCGCTGCGTCATATGAGGAAGAGGGAGAAGGTAAAGAATAATTCCTTGAAAGAAAAATATATCTACGCATGATAATGCAATAATAATAAAATTAATTGGAATTACGTTTTGTCATATAGAGTTAGCTGCGAATTGGGATGGTTGTGTTCGATGTAATTGCTTGCAACATGGCCTTACGGTTCATACAACTTACGAAGTCATCTCACCGTACCCAAAGTTCAGAGCTACAGTGTGTCTGAATTATTGGAATCACGTGGTGGTCAACACAGGAAACTTTTTGCACGTTCTCAGGGTAGATTTAAATATACCTAAATCGAAAAATCAGCGAACATGCGATAAGCAAGATAGCGTCGCACACGATTCCGTAGTTCCGGACACGATCCCGCTGGATATGAGCGATGTCGAGGAGACGGATTACTCGACAAGGACAGAACGATACGAGAGTTCAGACGAGAAAGTGAGCACGCCGGACTGCGTTGATCGATCTCCCAAATGCGAGTCCAGCCTAGAGCACGACTTTCTAGAGGAGCCAACTAAGTTAGATGATAAGTTAGGACACGATTTGCCATTAAATACCTCAAGCAGTAATCAAAGCGATTATGTCTGTGATATAAATAGTAAGTCTACCACTGCAAGCGCTTTAAATGTTAAGTCGTGCGAATGCTCGGACATGGCTGAATGCAAATGCCGGAATAACAGCGACAGTCCCGTGTCGCGACCGGCTGGTATCGAACAGACGGCTATCTCGGTGCGCGACAAGATTCTACAGGATTTCTGCGAAGATACGTCGCAAGAGCTCAATATCGGCAGCGATCTGATCACGCTGGTGAAACATCCGTCGTGTTCACCACGCTCGACACCGCAGAGACTGCCCGCCGATTTCAGGGCGATGACTACGTGGTCGTCATTGATACTCACTCCACCATCGGATATTCTGCGCACTCGCAATTCGGAATCTAGTCACAGAATCCAGGTCCAACGCAATAGCGGTAGTAGCCAGCAGCGTTCGAGCTCGCCGCAACCTGGTGCTTCGCAACAAGACAACTCCGTGGCTTCCATTAACTCGCCATTGCAATCCGTATCGATTAGTCCCTCGTCTTCATATTCGTCTCGCTTGATGTCACCGCCCATCGCCAGATCTTTCCGCTATCCGAGTCCACGCAAGAGATCGAATCTGCACTCACCTCCGCCCATCCCGGCTCAGTCGACGAGAACAACGAGAGCGACGCATAAACTCATCCTCGAAGCGGAGAAAGCATACGAGTTTACCGATGAGGCGCAAGAAACGACTTGCGAGAAACTCAGTTCATTCCGAAAACGCCGACTCGCCGACAAGAAGTACGAGTTTTGCGACGAGACGGAGGACGCAGAAAACATAGTTCCTTTCAAGCACATACGCGATCAGTTCAGACATCGCGGTACTTGTTCGATACATCAGATTCCCTCCTCGCCAGTAATGTCGCCGGTTTTGCCGAATGGACGAAGACACTGGGTCGATTCAGATCAAAGCGAAACGGACGAATTGAATCTTGCTCAAGATATTAGCGTAGCCAACGACTTGTCAGAATCAGGTATAATTTTTGGTATTATCTTAGAAAGAAAACGAAATTGTATATAAATTCATAATTATAAATTATTTGTTTTTTCCCAGCTGAGAAAAATGTACTGCGACCGTTGAATCAGAATCAGTTGTCCAATGGAAGTGTGCACAGAGATCGTGTTGGCAAGTGCTGCCCGAATTTCTCGCCGTTGGTTCCTAGAAATAACTTGCAATATCCTTTAATAAAGTGCACCGCACGATTCAAACGGAGTTACATAGAGCTCGACGATGAGATGATCTCAGTGATCACAGACGTGGAAGGTACATATTCAAATTTAGATGTTTTTAATTTTGAAAATAATAGTTCTCGCCTTGTTTTGATTATAACTGTTATTAAATCAAGATTTTTAATTTGTAGATGAAGAAACAGGAGGATATGTGAGTTACCAATGCGTACTTCCGATGCTCGTGCACGGCTCTGGATATGTTCAAATGCAGATGATTAGTAATAGTAAAGCAGAAAAGCTGGTATTTATCGCTTAGAAATATTCAAACTTTCTCAGTTTTTTCTATAAATTTCTTTAAAATAGTTGGTAACGGAATGCTTGTAAAAATAAAACACGTTTCTGATATAATGAAAATACTTACAGATAGTGCCGTGCGTTTCTATAACACAATTGAGTTTCGATATCGAGACTTTTTCTCACCATATAGCAGACTGGATCTGCACGAGATTCAAGAAAAAGTATTGGCACTGCAGCGACTATGATATCGAAATTATCGACGTGTGCGCGCTTAGCGGCGACATTATATGTTTGCACATAATGAAAATCCAAGCAAGTGAGTTATGTAGCCAAACGCAATGGTAAGCACACATGCTATTCTCCCATCCTACGAATTATATTCTAATCGTTTCCTTTTATGTTACTTTGCACGAACTGTCGCACGTTTGAAATATCTCAACGTGCGTATCTCAATGACACATCAAATAAATTAATATGATATATCCAGTTCGCAGGAGAGAAAGCAATACGAGGTCGGATGTAAATTCACATGGAATATTGATACGAGCCAGTATAGAATAACGGACGTTTTACCAATGGAGGAGGTAAAGCCGGAATCTTGGAAACCAACCATTACAAACATTCCGAATTTTCGTAGTCAATTATGGAATCCAACCCGTCGTTTGGCTACGCAATTACGAGAAAAGATTCAACAACCATACGCGCATACCGTACGTTTTCTTCATAACGAGATGAGTCTGGCAGGTCAGTATCCATCAAGAAATTTATTTAACTTTTTAAAGACAATCGCGTACATCGAATTCATTGCAGGAGAGTCTATAACTAAGCTCATCGACCTGGACAATCTGGTACAGTTTTACATAACGCCGATGGAGTGTTACGTGGAACGTACAAATGACGCCTTAATGGAGTGAAAAAAATGCAGGAGCCATTGCGCTTCATTGCAAACAATAATTTATTTTATCGATACAAACTTCGCCATTTTTGCCAACTCGCCGAGCCATGGCATAATGTATAGAAATGTACTCCGCATTGTAAAGGATTGTTAGCAAAGTATCTTCCTTTTCGAGCATAAATAATGAATACGCTGTCAGAGGAATGTATAAGCCATATAGGATTCTCGCTACGCCTTTTTTTCACATTGTTAAGCAGAATCGATTCAATGCGGCGCAATTTGTTCATAACTTAGAGGCATATAGATTAAAGGTACTAATTAACGATACAACGAAACTCCCGCAAGCGTTTGCTCCGATTTGTAAAATTTACCAGTGCTGTATACTATACATTGACGCTATCTACGCTATCATGGTAACTACTGTACTTTGGTAATTAGTAGATATAGGTGACTAAACTGATTGTCAATAAATGTATTGTAATGTGATTCAAAATAAGTGAGAGAGAGAAAAGAGAATGGTAATAACTGCCTCGATATACTTGGTCCCCAAAATTAATTAACGATCTAAATCTCTAACAAAAAAGAAGAAACATTGGAAAATTTTTCTTGTATACGTCGAAACTTGTCCTGCATGCATGTAGGACTAAATGCGTTATACTTAATTTTTTACATTATCACAAGATTATTGTATCATAAGGCGAATTTTCCAAATAGAATTTTGATAACAGTTATTATATGTACATTAAATATGCCCGCGACTTTTGTGGTCATTAAATACGTCCATTGCGGTTCGCAAATACTGTTATAATTAAATAATTTTTATGTTGAGATTTCGAGAGAACGAATTACTTTCAAAGCAATAATATCGAAGCCGACGATAAATCGTTTTTTTAGATCGTAATAAACTTTGTGTCATTATTTAATAGAGATTCTCTTTAACTAATGTATTATTTTCGTGTATATATATAATATATATATATATATATATATACATATACAGATAATATTTATTATATATAATATATATAAATATTTATTCTATACCTTTAGAAGTTGACAGAAAAGACTAGCAATTCAAACAGGTATCTTAACAGGCGGTCCTACGTTAACATCAGATCCGATTCCGTCCAACTTGAGGCCGGTAAGAATGTCCTCCCATGCATTCATGCACTGCTGATAGTGTTTGATATGTCGATCCGCCATCGCGATTAGCATATGCTTCAAATCTTGTTGCTTCTCTACATTCCATCTCTGAAAATCGCTTCGCAAATTCTCGTTCGCGCATTCCACGCGATCTTGCAATATCTCTGCTTGCTTGGCTAATCGTGGAATAGTCTGACCAAGTCTCTCTAATTTTTCATCGCGAGATTCTGCTTTCCACAGAGATCCGCCCCAGCCTTGTGCAGGAATTGTGCAACTTGGATTTCCTACCAACTAAATAAATACAATTAAATTTAATTACAAATTTAATTACAAATCTAACTATTTTCCTTTTTAGTAATATAAAATTGCAGATGTTAATTTTTTACATTTAAAAATTTTAAATTATACCATTTATATCTCATGAAAAATTATAAATCGTTATGAATATATTTAGAAGCATAATGGCTTTTAATTTCTTAATTTAGAAATAAGAAAAGAGAAAGATATAATCAAGGCTCGTACCTGATCCTTTTCTAATCTTCTTTTCGCTAATACATCAACTGTTAATTCATACTCGATCTGCATGGAATCGCGTCGAGATAATGCATTCTTCACCGCTTCTATGTATGACACATATTCACGTTCGTCACTAGGAACATTCTCCAGAAGTTTCTGATGAGCTACTGTGTTCGCTTCCACCGCTTTAGCGATTGCCAATAAAATAGGCGCAAGTTCTGGTTCTGAGGTTGCCCACAGTGTAAATATAGGATGCAATTGATGGAGCTCCAATAAATAATCTGCGTTACAATATATAATGTGAAACCGAAAGTTGTTTTATTGCGATATATATCTACGAATGCTTTCTGTACGCACCTTGTCTTTCTTTATGTATGCGATGATTGATTTTATCTATGGCCGACAATTTTTCACTCAATGCTGTACAGTAGTCCCGAATTTGTTCAAACTCCAAATGACGCTGTTTCATCGTATAAGTAGTTGCTATATTTTGCAAGGAATCGGTCACCTTGCCAAGTACATTCCCACGATTTTTACGATGAACGAGAAACTCCTATACATAATAAATGAGTTCAAATTGGTAGAGTGTTGCCATGATAACATCATACTCACTGCAGATTTCGTTGTGAGAAAGATATGGAGATTCTTGTCGCAACTGAGAATAGGATGATTCACCACTCTATTCAGAAATATATGCAACAGCTTCATACGCGCTATGATAAATTCCTTGGAATAACGATCTAGTTGAGCGAGCAATGTGTGTTTGCCTGGCATCGGCTGTAATAAAAGCCAGAATTCAGAAGCAATTGTTTGACAATTTTTTGCTTCAGGAATCCAGATTTTTAATCTCATTTAATTATAATTTATATCATGTTTATATTGGAAACAGCAATGAGAACTTACTGGTATAATGTGTGTTGGATAGGTGTCCACTAATTTCTGGCGTAACCAAATGAAGTCATTGTATCGCCTGCGAACTATATACTCGCTTTCCTCGAATTCTGGACGTGTAGTCTGCAAGATTATTTGATTATAATTAGTACATGCATAAATTCTAAAGACAGTCAAAGCTATACTGAAAATGAAGTTATACATACTCTAGTCGTTATACGGAACGTAATATAAGTCTCCAAAGTTTCCAGGTGTTTTTGTGGACTATCTACTTTCACTTGCAAGTCACGCGAATCCATCTGGAAGTCTGATATCTCCTGATCTGGCAATGTGGAGAAACTATCGATAGAAGGAGATGCCACCTGCAAGATTACAGCTCCTTGATATTTATTGCTCTCTAATATTAATTAGAAATTTTTCGGAATCAAACTTATGGTCATATAAAGTATTACTAAGCTTTATACAAATCTTTGTATTATATCACATGCATTAACGTTATCTACCACAATTGTAATTTATTATTTTCATTAAATTATTTTATTTTTTAACTTAATTAAATTTAAAGTTTATAAAATTAATTTAGTTACATCAAAATTGCATCAACAAAAAGTAATTTACTTGAAAATTACATTAAAATTAAATTCTTCAGTCAAATTAAAGACTTCAGTCAAATTAAAAGTTGATTTTAAGAAACATTAAATTATAAAATATTGTAACTTTTTAAAATCAAATTATTTTACACAATAAAATAATTATGAACTAAAAAATTTTTATTTGGAAAAAAGTTAATAAAAAAAAATTTCTTGTCTGACTTGTAACTAATTATTACTCAATCTTGATTATTTCAGGGCCAACAGACGCCCGCGAAGAATGACAGAAGGTACTGTCAAAGTGGGTCAGGTTATGTTGCATACCACGGAACCCTCGATGGAGGTGCTGCAGTTGGATACAAAGTCGACATCACGACTCTCCTGCTTGATGATTCTACCAACCGCCATGGTGCTCACCTCCAAGATCGCCGAGTCTTCAGTGCCGTCCGGATGCTCCACTTCCGACGTTTCCGACGAGGTCATCATTTTTCTTTGACAGTCAAATAACACACCAGTATATCACCAGTCGCCTTCGCGAGACAACTGCTGACAATTTCGCGCATGCGCCGTGGGAGCAACGAATTTATTACACGGTGATAAGAGCACGAAAGGAGTCCCAGGTCTGTCGCATCGCAAATCTTATTTCCAACTTAAACATCGATATTATTTCTTATTTATTAAATCTCGTCGATCATTTTTTAATTATCTGTTTCATTTTATTTTTATTATCTACCGCGCTAATGATAAATGAGATCTCTTTTGATTTACATATATCCAATTTTCTAAAAACATACGCGAAGATTTTCGACTGTAATTTTTTTTTTTTAATTTTAGATCGATTATCGTAATTGGGTAAAATTGCATAGTTTTACAAATGTTAATATTTTCAATTTTAGATCTTGGCTCCAGTCCGTGGTTCGCGGATATCTCGATCCGCCATTGCGAGCGAGGCGCATGCACGCGACAGGCACATCGATCATCGATTCAAAACGCCGCAGCCAACTTCGCATCGAGGTCTGATTGACCCACATCTCCCCTCTCATTATTCCGTCCAAATGCGACTAGAAGTTTTAGATAAATCAAAGAAATTATGATTTTGATAAGTTTTCTAAATTACATTGTTATCTTAACAGCTATCATAGATCACAACCATTTTATTGTAAATGTTTTCTCATCTTTAAAACTCTTGCGTGGGAGCGTGTATGAGATTGTATTGAAGAGAGACAGGTATACCGCTTAATACTTTTTTTGTCGATTCGTAATTGTTATCAATGGCGACGAAACCATCTTCTTGTTACACATGGAGGTTACATCCTGCGAAAACGATATCTCCGGAAATCGCTGATACTGGACACTTTCCCACAAAGTTTTTCGAAAACTCGAGAGCGCGCGGAAAACACGAGGAACAAATCAACGTGATAAATGCTGATTTTGTTGATTGCTTTGCCATTTTTTCGCCGTGAACATTCTCGGCTTCGATCGGCAATGGCGAATGAATATTGGCCAGACACATCTTACTACTTCATTAGGAAACCGTTGCTATGTAAGCTATTATTTCTTCTTTCTTTTTTTTACATTGACCAATCTTAACGTCATATGCCTCTTAGGTTCCATTTTTTCTTTATTATGATGTATAAATGATGCAATTAGTGACTACTCATTGAAGTCGCCGATCTCTGCAGGTCTTATTTTTGTTGATTTAGGCTGATCAATTTAATCAGTGATTAATTCAATCGATAGACTCATTCACTATAAATACCTGTAATTGCATATAATTTACTGTCTCTAACAATCCGGTCTTTCCTGTCATTTATTAAAGGAATTAATTTTTTTATATGTCGAATACTAAAATCTCAACTATACATATATACATATATATATATACATATATACATATATTATGATATTACATATTATGATAAATTAGTTTCGATGATTAAGTTAATCGACAGAATCGCTTAGAACAAAATTTTTATTTATAATTGTCTACTTATTTCAAATTTTTTTAAAGACTAAATAAGAAAAGATTAATAATTCTATTCACATAGTAGGAATATTGCTTGATAAATTGATAACTGACAGTTCTATAGTATATATTCTATAAATTAAAATTTAGTAACATGAAGAAATCACATTTTGAATTTTAATATTTCTTTTTAATTTTACGGTAATTGCTCTAACAATATTGAGCGTAAAACTAAAAGGTATTTATTTGTCAACGTTTGTAAATGCCAGAAAAAAATTGCTAATTTTTTTTATGAAAATGATTTATTTTCAAATAAAAAAAAGAAGCGCGCCTTACGGCGTATTGGCATATTGTCTGTGTAAGTGCATCACAGATGGCGCCAAAAAGCCGCATTATGACGCCATATTCTCGCCATCGACGTAATCGACGGCAATCGAAAGAGGATTCGTGCATTATCGGCCGACCGATTGGCGTTCCTTCCTTCGATTGTGCGGTTTCGAGTCGGAAACGCAATCGCGTTTTCTGTTTCGAAATTGCGATAAGTTATCTCGCAATGCGCCTCTAATTTCACGGCGCTAACTTCGAAATCACAAACATGTTCATGAATATCGGCTCAAATCACGAATAACTTATCGTATTTTTTCTCTTTTTTTCTCTCGACTTTTTTAATTTTTCAGATCTCAGCTTATAGCAGAAAGCTCTCAAATTTAGAATAAAAAAGTCGAATTATTTATCTAAGTGTCTTTTCGGAATAACAACAAAAATCTTTAATGTCAAATTGAATCAGGATTTGCAAATTCCATCTTAAAAAGAAAGAGAGAGAGAGAGAGAGAGAGAAGAAAGAAACTAATAAAAGCGAAATTCGCGTTCGCGAAGGGCAGAGCAGTCGGTGTGCGTATTCGTCCCGTCGAAGGCATCCCTCGGGACATAAGGTGCACGATACAAAGGAGGAGAGGAAAAAAACATCCGGGTGGTGCCATGTGCGTCGCGCACGGCCCTGATCGTGACGCGGTCAGTGATGCCGTAGCCAAGGCGACCGTAGCAGCAGACAAGCAACACCACTCCGGCCAGCCGTCCACAACAAAGTGTAGGGGTTCGTCGGAGTGTGTCGCCCCGCTCTTTTCGCGCTTTGTGCCGGCGTCGCGTCGAACGAACGCGCGAGCGAGCGCTAAGAGCCGCCTTACCGCGCGGTTTCCTGGGTGACGGGTCTCGCTGCTGCCTTCGAGACCGAGGGAGCAACGAGGGCGAGCGAGAGAGAGAGAGAGAGAGAGCGCGCGCGTATCGGGGAGAGAGACGGAGATAGAGAGCGCGCCCGCTCGACAACGACGACGACGACGACGGAGGGACACGTCGTTCTGCCGCGCGAGTGCGCCCGGGCGCCACTGCGTTCGAGCACACGCCATTCATGAAGACAGGTGAGTGCGAGAGAGAAAAGGAGAGAGAATGAGAAGGATGAACAGATCTCCCATCCGTTGTCGATCCAGCTCGGGCCGACGGAGACGTCGCCGTTCATTGGCTCTCGATGACTTCGTCCGTAAGCGGTTAGGACTATCCTTAAAAGAAATTGACTCGATTTAGGCTTTTCAGCTCTACGAACGAGCTGTTAGAGCTCGCCGGTTGTCAAATTACAACCATCAAATTGAATTTGTTTGTAACAGGAATGACTCATGGAAGATACCTCTTGGTAGGATGATAGGTTTTTAATATTGTTTCTCATTTGTTTTATTGAGGCTGGAGTATACAAGGGCGAAACGATGCCTGAATCTTTAGATTCTTCTAAGCTGTATAGTATGATTTTGTGTATGATTTCAATACTTGGTGCGATATATTGATCCCGTTAAAAAACGTTAAAATTTGCTGGATGTTATATCGGAACAGAGTGAAACCTTCGCAGAGCTCTGGCTTCATAGACCCCCCTTAATTTGTAACGCATTGGTGAGCCTATTATATACACGGTCTCCTATGGGATATCAAAAGATAGAAGCTACAAAGATTTCCAATTAAAATAGGCTTATCAATTACATGAATGTAATCTTCCAATTGTAAGATTTGCAGTTAATAGGCCTAAGCTGATGAACATGTTAGTGGCTTTTCAGCCATCTCTACTAGCTTCTCGACTAGCTTCAAAATCAGTTTGTCTGAAATCAGGGCTTAATATAATAAATTTGATTTTGGGGCAACGTTTAATTTTTTTATGATTCACATCTCGATACAAAATTTTCCTCACTGGTATTCGCTGTTTGCTATCTATTCCTTATCTCTGCCGTTGTACTTTTCACCATCTGCATAAGTTCTCAGCCTGTGGGTTTATCTGACTCCAGGTGCATATAGAATAATGGGTCTGAGAATTAAATATTAGCAAAAATATATAATACATGTATAGTATTTCTTTTTAGTCTGTAACAAGCCCCTGTAGTAATAGTTTCTCGTGTCCGAATTATGCCGGGGAATTGAATACGCGAGATACAATAAATATATCGCATGAATAGGAAGGACTAGAAAGAACAGAAGTCTCTCCCCATCAGCCATGCATAACAGAGGCCAGGTGTACTTGTGACGTTACGTGCGTGTAGGTAACGAACATGGGCTATCAGCCAGTAACATTTGCAGCAAACGATATGTAAGGTATCCTTCTAAATATAAGGATAAATATGTCAGTAAGAAATAATACGACAGATATACTAAAAAGGGTGTCACTCATCCAATAGTTTCTACCAATGATTTCTATCAATTTTTATCTCTAGGTTTAGTTTACTCTTCATCTTTTTCTGATTTTTAGAGATTGAAAAAAAGACATAGCAAGTCAAACCAAAATTAAAATTCTATATTGAAACTGACATTAGAAACAAAGGAATCAATTATACTGGTAATATAAATATTTTTAGTGAAAATTGTATTTATATACGAAATTTTCTTTTTGAGTAATAAACATTTCCTTTTATTTACGTTAGTAAATATGAGTTTTGTTTTCAAATTACTTTAGGGCAAGGATCACGTTGATGTAATATTAGTACGTTTCTATGCCTATCAAATGCCTGTATTAATTAGCTAACACAAATATATCTATATATCAAAATAGAAACATCGGATTCTGTTACAAAATTTTCTTCTGATCAATACTATCAGGTAACAAATGCCACAATTTTCTTCTCAAAATATAGCTCCATTAAATCTTAGATTCTCATAATATAAATTACATATTGAACTTTTTTTTAAGGACAAAGTAGTCGTATATATCTTTTATTAAAAAATTTACAAGGGAATAAAGTGTAGGAGGATGGGGGGAGAAGCATGGCCACTTTCCCCCGTGAAACATATTAACGCGGTAGCGTGCGTCGTTTTATTAGCTCCGGTCCATACTTGGCGGAAAGAGCGAGGGTGCAGCATGGAACTCAGGATAATACTCTCTAATTGCTTTCGTGATCCCGGTCGCCTTCATTGATATGTTTCAACCCCCTTAAAACGAGCCGTGTGTCCAGTCACGCGTGGGGTAGCGTACCGTTCTGTAAGTGCGTCCCGCGCTCCCTTCTCTCACCCCTCTTTCTAGGCTGATTTCTTCCCCTTGATACATTGTGTTTGGTACCTGCCGCCCCAACAGGTACACGGCGTCGATACACCATGATACACACGCGTAATAATGGCAGTGACGTGTATCGTTCGTATCGCGAGCCTGCCGGGGCTTCCCTTTGATCTGTGGATTATTGAATGCGCCACACCTGCGAGGAACTGCGTTATTACGATCTTGCTGCGATATAGGTTAGGACGGCAGCCGGAGAACTGGTGGGGTTTTATCCTCGTTTGATATTCCTCCAACAACGCGCGACTTGTTTCTGAAAAGGTTCACGATGTAATATTGATTCAATGTTTTTCATTTACAAGCAAAGTTTTTATTCAGAGAATTGATCTTTCTTTTTCTTTTTCTCTTTCTCTCTTTAACGGCACTCGATTTATCGACAGGTTTATTAGCGCTTCAATATGAATACAATTTGTTGACAATCTTGTAGACAGAGAATAGTTTCGAATTTTATTTATTTTTATAAAATATGATTTGAGTGAATATTAATGTGTTACTTATAATGTGTTACTTATTTCTATTTTAATTTACAATCTCTTGAAATTCCTATCGATAAATTTTATGTGATGTTAATGGGATAAAATATATTTTGTAGGATATAATAATTTATTTAAAACATATTTGTAAGATTGTTATATTTAATAATAAAGATCTTATATATAAATAATATTTTACATATGTTTTTTTAGAATCAAGTAATATTCTTGTTTTAATAAGTCGATATTGACCTTGGAGTTGTGTAGGCAGGCTGTTCTTAAAGATCTTTCTGCTGGGTCTGGTGGAAGATATTATTGATATTTAGTGAGATGGTGTATGTGTATATCTCTGTTATAGATTCGTCTCTCCAACAGCGGAGAGGTAGTAGCAGTGGTGGCGACGACTCAGTGGGTGCAGAGAGAGGCGAAGGAGTGATTGCCATGACTACGACAGGAGCCCAGTATGCCCTCGCAGCAGCATCCACCGGGGCTAATAACAGTGGGGGTAACTCCACGGCGGTAGGGGTGGAATCTAAGCAAAATGTGGTTGTCGTGACTACTACTTCCAGTTCCAGTGGTGGTGGCAGTGGAGCACAGACTCAGTCTGCCAGAGGCCAGCAACTTATCACTGTCGTGACAAATCCTGATCCTTCCAGTCCAAATAATCTACAACCCATTCAGGTTAGTAATATTATTCTGTATTGTTTTTGTGTTATGCCTTTTGTCAATGTGATGTATGATTATTATTCATCATTCTAAAAGTCTGGACAGTAATTTCAATACTTTGCAAAATACAGCTTGTATATCAATTACTTTGCCTCCTCTTTATTGCTCTTTCTTACTATTATAATAATAAGAAAGAGCAATAAAAATACAAAATATTAATATATAAAAAATTATTCAATATGCATATAGATATTATAGCATCTGTTTGCAGTGTACTTTTATAGATGCCGTACGTCCAATCTGATAACACATTTGAGCCATCTGCTCCTAGCGACTGATAAGAACGATACACAAATGTTGAAATAAAATTCAAGTTAATTTTATGTTGGGCATATAAATATTCACAAGCGTACAAAAGGCATATATATTTTTTTTGTTTATTTCTGTTATATAGAAACGAGTCGTGGGCCATGAGGACACGCATACTATAAATAATAATTTAGTTATTGGTTCAGGATCCGCTTGAAACAGCTGCAGATTCGTCCAACGGCTCAACAGGTACCCCAGCGCATGTTACAGCACAAGTGGTAGTCAATACTACTCACTCAGGCCAGCACGCATTAGTGGATTCTGACGCCGCTTCTACATCAGCTGGCACTATCGTTAGTGGTTCCCCGCACTATATAACAGTTACAGGTAATAGCTAAGTATAAATTTTCTAATTTCGTATCGAAGAGTCGATCCTTACATGACTTACAATACATACAAATCTAATTGTGAACAATCGTCATACACTAAACTGTAGAAATTAATATCGAGAACAAAAAATTAATTGCAAATTTATTACTTGCGGTGAGTATAAGGATCAGTTTGAAAAATTATAGTATTTGAGTAGAGATTTGGCCCTTTCCATGCTGCTGAAAAACATGCACCTCTGTACTTCTACCACACTAGGCACCAGTGACTCACCATCCTACGCGTCCCTTACAACGGCTGTAGGTGAGGGCAGAATATAAACAGCATGTCTTACATATCCTTTTTATTATCAATACATTTTAATTTTGTAGAAATTACCAGAACAATGAATGGATTGTGTTTTTATATAACGGTATCTAATACTTCACGATACTATCACTTGATTTATTTTATTCTATCTCGCATATACATATTGTTGACAAACATTATAATTTAAAGTTATGACTATAATTATGACTATAATTTAAAGTTTTCATAATTCACGAGACCATTTTTATTCTGTCCAAAGACAAGTGCCAAAGACATTTTTGACAATTTGGTTATTAAGGACATTTCCAAAATGACGTTTATGACAGTGCGTCGATAAAGCCTATTGCGTTTATGCGAGCTTTATATGTATCGGTACGAATGATCTATTCAAATTCATTCAGCTATGTTCCTCTTTTTGTTTCAGTGTCCGGCGACGCAGAGGCAGTGGGGTCCGAGTCAGTTTCCCATCCAACTTATGTTCAATATGTTGAGGGGGATGGTTCCACGTATATACCGGCGAATGGCCAGATGTAAATGTCGCAATCTCCTACTTATCAATAATCCATAATACTCTATGTAACAATCATTATAATACTCTGTACAGGACATATCCTGTTTATGCTGTCGGTGAGGCGGGAGCAATGTACACTCCAGCTTCGGGTCAGTACTACACTCCAGCAACAACACCAGTAACGTATGCGCAGGTAATTGCATCCATTTCTATCAATATCTATTAATTTTAAACTTAATTTCATTTATTTCTTATCTCTTTCTGTAATTTTTAAGATTAAAAAAGAAAGGAATAATAAGTTAAACTGAGATTAAAGTTAATCTTTGTTAGGCCCGTTTCTTTTCCTTGATCCAATTTGATAAAACTTCTATTAAAAATAAACAAATTTAATGCTGATTTCTACAAACTGGCTTCTACAAATATTACAATATAAATGTTTAATTAAACTTGTAACTTATGTATCATAATTTTAAAAGCTACTATAGCTCGTGATTGTTGATTGGTCTAATATTGATTCACAACACACAGCTCTAACGGTCTTGTGTCTTGTGAATGCTTGTGAAAAATATAATAATAGAATTGTATAAAAATTATTAAATTAAAAATGAATAAAGGAAACATTAATAATAAACAACTATGCAAACATGCTACGAATTTTTCTCAAATAAAGAAAATAATTTAAATAGATTTAGAGTCCCAGATTGTTAGTTATATTTTTTAATTATAGTTCAATTACTTTTAAATGGCTAAAATTGGCCGTTTAATTTAAACTCAATTTATATACGTTTAAACTTAAATAAATAGTTAGTAAAAGGAATCAATATTCAAATTAATCTAAGTTAATTAAATGTCACTAGCGATTATCTTTTTAAACAGTAGAAACAGGCATTAGTTGGAATAGACATAAATACTTGAAAGTGTAAAAATTAGTGTGATAAGATTGGAATTATATTAATGTTGTTTACGTTGGTAATCAGGTCACGGGGCAAGGCACGAACTCAACAACCGGACAACTATTATCACAGGGCAACGGCACGTACTTGATTCAACAGAGTGTAGTAGATGGAGACCCGACCACTCACGCGCTCATATCCGCGGCTGCTGCGCGTGCCAGTCCGCAAACAGAAACAGCGGTAATTTGCATGTTCTGTGATTTTTTTCCAGAATGCTCTTTCATCTTTTAGATGCTGAATAAATTTGTCTCGTTTATATTGAATGATTAACGCATCGATTTAGGACGATACATATTTATACTTCATCGCTGCAGGCATGGGGATCTGTGCTCTGCATGATTATACGGGGCATCAAAATTTGTACCAAATTTTGTTGCAGTTTCAACAAAAACATATAATTATTTATAGCATTAAAGTTTGCAATGTATTCTGTAAACAATATGTTCAGTAAATCGTAGTGCAAGTAGTAAAAAGATAGTTTCTCTCGAAAAGCAAAAAAATAATTTATATTATAATTAACATAGTTTTTCCGACACTCTGTATATAAACGAATGATCTAATATTCGTAGTTTTCGAAGTAATTTGTATTATAGATTTAGTATAAGAGTTAACAGAATTGCAATTAGTACTCAAGGAGAAGTATCCTTATCCTTCTCTTAATATGGGGGGTTAACGAGGCATTGGTATGTTGGGTTGTTTGATAGGAGGCTGTGGTTAGCGGTGGTGGCGGGACATACTTGATCAGCGGTAATTCTGGAAGTACCACTGTCACCGTGGAAGAGACAGCGGCAAATGTGACGCATGCCACTAGAGTCTCCCAGGCCACTGTAAGCCCCCAAAAAGAACTGATTCTCCAGTTTTCGTAGCTTGTCTGGCATACTAATCAATCTTATTTTTTAATTTTTTGGCATGTCTGTTATTAATTGATTTGCTTTAAAAGTATCGCCCTAAAGTTTTTTTTTGTGCATAGTCTAATTTCTAAAAGTTTTTTATCGCGAAATCTAGCGAAGAATATAAGGAATGAATGCATTTGATAGATTTTTTAAAAGATTGTTACTAATATATTTTTGTTTGCCATTAATTGTAAATTTATTTCAAAAACAGTTTTAGCAATTTTGAAAGCAATGACATACTTTTCTTCGCAGAACAATATTTTTTTATTTGAAATCTTTTTAATTATTTTATTAAAGTTATTTTATTTTTTATGTACTTTTTTTATGTATTTTTTATGTAATGTTTTTTTATATACTTTTAATAAATCTATAAAAAATATAAATGTTAATTTTTTTATCGATTTAATTAGGTACACTGGTTATTGGAGAATTACGAAAACGCTGATGGCGTGTCTCTGCCAAGATCGACTCTCTATAATCACTACTTACGTCATTGTTCCGAAAACAAGTTGGATCCTGTGAATGCGGCTAGTTTCGGGAAATTAATACGCTCTGTATTCTTAGGATTGAGAACTAGACGTTTAGGGACTAGGTAAAAAGGCTTTACAATAATCAAGAAAATATAGTGTTATTGGAGTAATATTACATAATAATATTACATATTTCTTTATTATAGAGGAAACTCGAAATATCATTATTACGGAATTCGTGTAAAACCAAGCTCACCTTTAGCCATGCTGAATGAAGATGGCACATCGAGACAACAGCAGAGCGCAAACTCTCAGGCCAAACGGTTCAAGTTTGTCAATCAAAAACAGGAATCATCTTATGAAAATAACGCCCATACGAACACGAATATCTCTAGTAATTCCTCACCGCCGCAATATCATCAGTATTTCGGTGAAGCAACCAGTGCCATTCCTGATTTCCCGGAGATTTTCATTAGTCACGATTCATCCCTGCCTGAAGATTGTACCCTTGAAGATATTGATACGTTCCGTAGTATATACAGGGAACATTGCGAAGCTTTCTTGGATGCGATATTGAATTTGGAATTTGCCACAGTGGAGAGCCTCTGGAGAGAATTCTGGCGCAGCCAGGACAATAATAACGGTGATGAGTGTGAAGAAGAGAAATATTTATCAAAGTATGATACAATATTTATTAGAGAAATTCGCATTATACAAGAGAATAGATAGAGATTAAGTTATATCTATTATTTATTTATTTATATTAAAAAATTTTATTATTTATATTAAAAAATTAGCATATTATTTTTCTAATATTTTATCCGCAAGTCATTTAATGTATTTTATTTATAAATTCACTATTTTTAATTATTTATAATTATAATTATAATTATAATTAATTATAATAATTATAATTATAATTATATTTATAATTATAAATTATTTATATTTTATTTACGAAGTCCCTAACTCACAATCTTTTACTTTTCAGAACCAAATTATATCAGATGTGTCAGTGTACGGGAGTGCAAGACTTCATCAAAAAAGTGGATTACACATTTTATCAGAATCTAGTCGATGTTTTAATGCCTAATGTATTGCGACCGATACCAAGTATGTTATTGTAAGATTCATCATTATTATATTATTTAGATTTGCAAATTAAATTAATCTTTTTTGTCTTGACAAGGTCCGTTGACACAGTCTATTCGAAATTTTGCGAAAGGATTGGAATCTTGGTTACAGTCAGCAATGGCCGACTGTCCTGAGGAAATGACGCAGATTAAGGTATACTCTTATTTAAATCTGTTAAATAATGTTAAAGAGAAAAGAATGTCAAAAATACTCTAAATTTTTTGAAAAGTTATATAGAATAATTATTTGTTGGTTACAGTTAACTGCAGTGTCAGCTTTTGCTCAAACTTTAAGGCGCTATACTTCGTTAAATCATCTTGCACAGGCTGCGCGAGCAGTGCTTCAAAATTCTAGTCAAATTAATCAAATGTTAGCTGATTTAAATCGTGTTGATTTTCATAACGTGCAAGAACAAGTAAGTTGATATTTTTTAAATATTTTCAGAAAATCTTTTTTTTTACCATTTATGTCAATATACCTGTGATTGTTTGTTTTAGGCATCTTGGGTATGCCAATGTGATTACGGAATGGTACAACGTTTGGAAGCAGACTTTAAAGTAACGTTACAACAACAAAATTCACTGGAAGATTGGGCGATCTGGTTAAAAGGAGTTGTGACTCAAGTGCTTAAACCATTTGAAGAGAAGCCAACATTTGCTAAAGCTGCACGTCAATTCCTACTCAAGTGGTCATTTTACAGGTACATTTTATTTTTTGTCACATTTCTAGGGATGTTTTATTTAATTTCAATTAAATATATATCATATCTCTTTCATAGCTCGATGGTTATTCGGGATCTCACTTTGAGGAGCGCGGCAAGCTTCGGATCTTTTCATCTTATCAGATTACTTTATGACGAATACATGTTTTATTTAATAGAACATCAGGTTGCTCTCGCAACTGGGACTACACCAATAGCTGTAATGGGAGATGTTAGTATACTTCAATATATATATATATATATATATATTAATGATTGTTTGGATGTTATGCAATTAGGCATTTTATCTTTAATTATTTTTTGGATTGTTTTAATTTAAATTCTTAGATTTAAATTAAACTCTTCTTTTTAAAAAGATTATTATAATCTCAGATTGATTTATACTGTATCACGATATAGTAAATAATTTTTTTATTTTAGAAAAGTCAAAATTGTTCTTTACTTACTGGTTTCGGAACAACATCCAATGGAGGTGAGATCGTGTAATTTAATATATATTTTATTATTCTTATCACAATTTTACTTTTTTTTATTATTTATTTGATACAATAAAAAAAAAATGCTTTTCAGATGCATCTAATGCAAGTCAACCAAAACGTATGAAGTTAAGCTAACTGTGTGCCTACGTTCTTTAGTTTATGAGTTAAAGTGGTAGCACACGAAAATGGGATAGCACGAAAGCATGCAGGCCTACTACAAGAAAAAAAAAACTAAAAACACTAGTCTCGTAAATTATTATTTTGTATAACATCAAATTACAATTATGACATATAAGAAGATTTTTGCATACCGCCTACAATGTATACAATTCAAGTAAGTCTGTGTGATATAAGATAGAGAGATATTGTACTCCGCGAAGCCTTGTCTCATATACAGGTATGACGGTTTAAGGTATCGCTGGCACGATTTTAGTATATTAGTATAAATTGAATCTAGTCGAAACATCTTTGGGAAAAAAATAAGAATATACGGGACCATGAATTTATCATGCCCTCACTAGAACATGTATGAAAAGCTCACTCGAATAGGTTTTCTATTCTAGAGTATTATGATTATTGAGCATAATTTTTTTATATAATTTTATATATATTAATTGCTATGCGATGTGCATGAAGTAAGAGTGATAATGTATGCATTATATTATTATAATTATGTATTATTAATACTCGTTAAGATAAATTTATATTTTTCCTTAATCTTTAATTTATTTTTATTCCTTTTCATATCTAAAACAAGATTAGCCAATAAAATGTCAAAGGTGCATTAAGGCATATATATCCATTTTTATTATACTAATGAAATAAAAATATTCTGAGATTATCTGAGATGTTCGAGGAAAACCGTATCGAGTGGGCTTTAAAATGTTCACCAATTTGTGTACGAAATTTGTGTAACGAAAACGCAAGAAAATAGAACAAGGTACGTTCGTCGTATGTTCGCGAATTCCAGTTTGCACAAATTCTGCGCAAACCAATTACAAAAATCCGCCCTGCCGACGGTAATATGTCAAAAGTATTCTTACCGGAATATAGGAAGATTAGATTGCTGTAACAATACATAAACTTTTAAAGTTTACACACATATATCCGACATTCATATTTTTTAACGTAATTTATTGATTAAACATCGAGCTCTGTGTGGAAGTTTCATTTTGAGAACAGTCTATTGCAGTCGGTTGCTATTCTCTCAGTATAATTAAATGAATAGTACAAAATTTTATTGAAAAGAGATGGGAGAGGTAAAGAAAGAAAGGACGCGAGTACCAAGATTGTTTTAATTTAACTGATAGAATATACAGTGTGTGTCTTATAGATTGGATGTACATACATTAATAAGATGTAGCGGATGAAAATACGTACGATTGTTAAAGTTAAAAAAAGAAACTGCAAAATATATGATAAGCGCGATACGAGTGTCCTCAGCCATTTCAAGATTGGTCGAGGATGCCCACAATAAAAATATGTGTCGGTATATGTTTTGTATTCATAGGCACTCCAATAGCATCTTTTGTATTGTAAAAATATTAGATGTAAGTCTCTAATATCGCTATGGAATTTCATATGTTGAGTTTGCTTTGTTTATTGTATATTATTTAAGGCAACTTAATATATATGTTTATGCAGCTGTGCATGTAGCTGCATTACACGGATTTTTATTTATTTGAACACAAAGTTGAATCGATCTTACGTTTCAAACGACAAATATTTATAATTAATTATTATTCTTATATATCCGCTTCTTAAACATCGAAGACATTCAATCAAAAAGGAAAGAATCTACAGGGTTATGAATTGAATTAATTGTAATATCGAGCAATTGATGATTTACATATTTTAAGTGTAACTGTTGATTTATTGTGTACTGTAAATTGTCTCTTTATATAATTCACGAGTTATTTATGGGAAATTTCTGATTGAGATGTTTTTATGTACGTCAAATATTTTAATATTCATTACAAT